TAAATAAACAGCTGAGATGTGATTTGTCCACCAAAGAAATGCTTTACTCCTCGTCCACCTGGTGAACTTGGCCCGCAGCAGTTGTCTTTACATTTCTTGCTCCGGCTGCAGCTGTCAGAGGAATTCACCAGACTCTGACTAGAAGAAAGGGGGCAGCTCTGATGTGTTCAGGGTGTGGAGGAATTATCAGTTGTCTCATGTGATTTTGAGTTTGATCAAATCAGGCGTGTCTGGTATTTTGGTGTTTTTTCTCACCTCCCTGATGAGCTGTTGTTATAATGTGATCAGAAATGTAAACTATTTGAACTCTGATCCCGTCCTCCTCCTCCTCCTCCCTGCACCTCATATCTTCCCTGATAATAAGACCCTCCACACATTCACATTCCCCCCAGAGGTGCAGTCCTCACAGTAAATAAAACACAGTTTTTCTTTTTCCTTTCTGACAGTGTTGTGGAAGAGGATTCTGCAGCCCAAACCACAGGTCACATGACAGGTAGCTTTCATTTTTATCCCGACTTCACCCCTGTTTTTTATGTGGATGTTATATTTTTACTGGGACATCTTTTAAAATGATTCTTATTCATTTTTGTTTAGATTTGTGCAGCGATGAAGCAGACAACTCTCCTCCTCTTCAGCTTCACACGCTCAAGCAGTTTGAACAGGTGAGTTCTTTGATTCGATTTGGAGGAGTTTATTTGTGATTAAGACGTTATATGAACAGTGTGTGAAATGAAACTGCTCTATGGTGACATCACGCGGCAGCAAATCTTTGCTACGTGAAGATAAGCAATGCTTTGACTAAATTTAGATATTTTTGTTTTGCTGTTTTGTCTAATCCAAACACTGAAGGACATATAGAGATCTCCTCCATCTCTTATCATTTGGTGGAAAACACCCAGAACCCTCCTCTGCTATAATCTGCCTCAGGGTGATTCTGACCCACTTTAAGTCTTTGGTGTCCTGTGCTTTGTTAAGTGGAATATCACCACTATATTTTAAGAAGACATTTTAAAAAATGGTGTATTAGAAGTAGGTGTAGAAACTAAGTTTGGCTCAGTGAGCTGTTGCCTCTCAGCGAGAAGATCAAATCAGTTTCCACAGTCCAAAAACATGACTGTTTGGCTAACTGGCAACTCTTAAATTGTCCCTGGTGTGAGTAAGAGTGTGAATGGTTGACTGTCTTTTTGTGGACTTGCAACCTGTCCAGGCCCCTCTGCTGGATATGGGCACCAGTGACCCTGAAAGGAAGAAGCGAGTAAAAGATGGATGTTTAAGCCATTTTTATGTCAATGCATCATTCCATAACCATCATTTTTATGTTTTTGTTTTTTTTTTTGGCACACAGTATCTCATTCCACCATTTTTGTGCTATTTTTACAATTTGTATATCAAATGTTAACTCCTTCAGGACATTCTTTCTATGGCATTTGGTACGTCAGCAATTTATAGCTTTTTCATCAACATTTTTCTTATTAAAAAATGAATGGATCTGTTTTAAGTCCCTACAACCTGTTTTAAAATCTTCACTTTTTCAACTTCTTTGTGCTAATTTCAGCTTCCTTCAGCAGCTATTTTGCTGATTCTAGCTTTTTTCTGGTTTATAGCAATCATTCTGAGCTTGCTTTTCTTCTGCTAATATGATTTTTTTTGTGCTTTCTTTTGTTTTTTCTGCTAATTTTTTTCTTTAGTTTTTTCCTTTCTTTAAAAAACAACAACATAAATTCAACATAAAACAAAAATACCAATCATAAACTAAATGAAAGGTAGCAGAAGAAGATAAAATCTTATTGTATCTGCCCCTTTTTCTCAAATAAATAAATTCAATCAAAAATAATCTTTAGTTTATAAAAAAGCTGAGTTTTTGAGCGAAATTGAGCTTTTTCTCAGCTAAATTCACCTTTTTTGTGATAACTTTTACCATTTTCTTCAGCAAATATGTGCTTATTCTGTTTCTTTGTGCTAATTTCAGCTACTTTAGGCTAGTTTCAATTTTTTCAGCTATTCAGCTTTCAGCATTAAGCATTCACACTGCATTTTTTGCAGGAAATGCAAATTCTCTGGTGTGTAGTTGTCGCTGCTGGCACCTGTAATTTACAGCAGGAGAGTTTTATATCAGAGATGGGTTTTTATACTGGAGACGTGTGTTTCAGGTGCAGATGCAGGAGACAGGACTTCATGCAGTGTGCTGTAGAAATCGTCATGTTTAATTAATGAATTATTAGATTTTTAATGAGTCTTGGTCATTTTCTGGAGCCGTTACCAACAGCTTCTATAGAAATTAGCAGAGCAGGTTCTATGCATTAAATAACTCATCATTATTTGCTAATACACATTAAGCTACGAAAGGTTAAAGGTCACTATGCAACATTTGTCCATCTAACCAAGTCTTGCAATCCTAGCCAAAACGCATTTTTGATCTTGTTTTGAGATGATAAATTATAAGCAAGAACAGAATTTGTTTGATCATTAATCTTGTCAGCTTGGAACTTTTCCTTATTTCAAAAAGGCTTATCAACCACAATTGTCTGATTCCACTGGCAGATTAATCTGCTAAATTTGAAAAGATTCAGACTCAAATTAAGTGAAATAATCTGCCAGTGCAGTGATACAATTGTACTAAATGTAGGGGTCACCTCAAGTGAAGAAACAAGATTTACTGCCTCGAAGCAGGCCTCGGACAGGCCTGACGAGAACGTTATCATGATTTAACAAATGCATAAACATTCTTAGTAAAACACAAATGAATCACGAACAGAAGAGATTGTTCTGTCCATTATCTGATTAAGAGAACTGAGGGGTTCTCTTCCACGGTTAGAATGACCTGTCATGGCCTAAATAGAGTTCAGTTTGTGACAGAGTTCCTGTCCTCTCGTCAGGCGTGTCCGAGGCCTGCTTCGAGGCAGTAAATCTTGTTTCTTCACTCGAGGTGACCCCTACATAAATAAGACAACTTTAATATATCACCACTTTATTAACTATGTTAGTAATTGATTCAAGTAACGTCAGTAACTGTTTAAACGGGGCTTGGAGCTTCTCGAGTTCATAACTGATCAATACAGTGAAAATGTCCCAATTTATGTACTTTTTCATTCATTGTTTGTGATGTAACTTATAGGATTTGCAACACAAGCATGGTTGTGACTCAGAAAAACTTGCTCTGCAGCATTTCTCATATAAAGTGGTTGGAGGCCATCTTTAAAACTGCTGACTCTTTGAACAACCATTAGTTGAGAATGAAGCCATCCTCTGCAGGAGGAGCTGCTGAGCTGTGCTCTAAAGGCGTTTGTGACAAACCAGCCACCGACTGATGAAAGGAGCTCTCAGAGCCGCTAACACGTCAGTATTTGTGTCACCTGGATACTAAAATAAACACACAGGAACACATGCTCTTTATATTACACCTATTTGATTTCTGATCAATAATTAAAGGTTGTGTTTGTGGGGAAAAGCAGTGTAAAACCCCAGTCTGTGTATAAGATGTCATATCTAATGCTCTGTGGAGGCTGACCTTGATCTTCTCTCTGCATTATTTAACAAGACGTAACATGACTCTCCAATCAGTGAAGTCACTGAATGTGTCAAAAACTAAACGGAACAAAACTGGTCTGTCTTTGGTTTTACCCTCTCGACTCGGGCAGACCTTGTTTCGTTTCTCTCAGTGTCTGATCTGAGGGACAGTCAGGGACTCACCACTCTGTGAGTTTCAGGATGCTTCTCTATTAATAGCGCCGTGGCACAGAGCTCCCAGTTCTCGTATTTCTTTTACCTTCTTCTCACTCGTCCGTTTCTCCCAATCCCGTCAGCTTTAGCCGCAGAACAAACTGCTTGATTCTCATCTTGAGTAACAAAATTATGTACAAGCAACAGTGGGATAAAAAGTGAAAAGAAAACTGAATTTCAGAGGAAGCAGATGTGGACGAGTATCATTGCTAGTTCTTTGTACCATGTTAGACTTTTACATACAGTATTTTGTATCACATTTCCAACATGCACTCTGACTCTGTCCAGCACTTAACCCCCCCACCCCCCCTTTAATCTGATGGCACAATCTGGTCCCACCTGACTGATTACATGTCATCAACTCAGTCGTAGAGCTTTTAGTCACTTCCAAGAAGTACAGCTGTTATTTTACACACAGATGCACTTTATCATTTGAAAAGAACACAAATTAAATAAGAGTAACTTTTAAATGAGAACAAATTCTCCCTTTTTGCATAAACTACCTCAGATGACACGTCACTAACTCTGGGATATAATACAAAAAACACATTTTATGGAGTTAAACTGAGACAACAACTTTGTTTTCACAAACCATTAATAGTGACGTGTGTGTGTGTGTGTGATTGTACCCTCTGTTTTAAATCTGGTTATGGCTCCTAAAATTTACATATAATGACAGATGAGTGTTGAACTCAATGGTTTTCTTGTGCTCCCAAAAATCACTGGTTATTTTGTCTCTTCTTGATATTTTATAGTTGTTTTAAAATCCTGTCATCAAACTGGATTAACTTAGTGGTGTAGAAGTTAAGGTATAAACAAACGCACCAAACCCTCTTTATGTTCTTTTAGTGAAAATAGGTTTTCAAAAAGACACCAAGACCCTTGATTCTTAGTACTGTAAGTAAAACTAGAAGATATTCAAACACATAAACCAGCAAAACCATTAAATACATAGTTTCTAAAACACCATGAATTCTAATATTAAGGTTCAAGTTTCCTCTTGAATAGCTTCAGGGTCAGTTTTTTTAATTTTTCTGAGGGTTGTGATTTCCCTTCATAGTGTGTCACAAGTGCCTGTAAGCTCCCCCTCCTTTTCCACCCATCTCCCCTGGCAGTCTGAGATTCCAGGGATGTCTCCTCTGGTAAAATAAGCTCCTGTCCCATCAGGCAGACCACAGAGCACCATGGAGCTGCTGCAGCTGCATCTCTGACTGCAGGGCTGCAGAGTAGCTCTCTGCACCGCAAGACCCTAAAACACTTTAGAGTGTGTGTGTGTTTGTGTGTGAATGTGTTAGTTTTAGTGTGTGTGTGGTTGTGTATAGAGGTCTAAAGGTTATAGGATTAGTCAGTAATAATAGTTATGGAGAAGGTGGCTGGTGGTTCCAGGACTCAAACAGAAGGAAGAGCCCTGACTGCTGCTCTCCTTTAAAATGGGTTTTTGTTCCCCTCTTGGGTGGTGATCCGGAAAAGGACCCAAGAGGACTTTGAGTTTCTGACCCATAACGGACATGTTGAGAGGTGTCGGCACTCTCTGACCGTCATGTCTAACGGTTACCGTACTCTGTCACAGCACCTGAATGACCTGAAGAAGGAGAACTTCAGCCTCAAGCTCCGCATCTACTTCCTGGAGGAGAGGATTCAGCAGAAGTACACGGAGAGCAGCGAGGATGTGTACCGCACGGTGAGTGAGGTCTCACCGCTCTGATCTGTCCTGCTGAGGACGAAATAAAAGGAACAGGTTCACCTTTATGTGTTTTGTTTTTGAAAGAGATTTGGCATCAAGTGTTTGATCTAAAAAGTCTGAACAACTGATAATTCATTGATGCACTGATTGTTGCAGCTCAGGTTTGTGTTTCCCTGATGGGTCAAATAAGAACCTGTGAGGATTTGATTCAGATTTATGAGATGTATTGGATTTCAAGCCCATCATGTTCTTTATGGCTTTAGTTTAATTTGGTAACATGATCTGGCTGCTGTGAGGATGGAGTCACAGCAGATTAAAAAAAACAGATTTTCCATCTTTGGTGTCACTGTTTTACTGTTGTCAAATTATATATTTATAATTTTACATCTTAAAAAAGTGATTTGTGTTTGGAGCAAAGAAATAGCTTTTACTAACATATTGAAGGTATCAGAATCAGTCATGAGAATTTCTGATCAAACAGCTACTTAGAGCTGAACAAATATATCTAAAGCTTTTATGTAAATTTAGATTTCACTTGTTTAGTTTCATATCTCAAGATGAATTAAATCAAAACAAATTTAATTTGTGATTACTTTAATTTTTAAGTTTGAACCTCACATAAATCTATATTATTTTGCACTTTTTCATAAAAATTCAAATCATTTCCCCAATTTATGAATAAAATAGTGATTTATTCTAGGAAAATAGCAGATAAGTGATTTTTACTGTGAAAATTAAATGCTCACATGAATCAAATACAGATGATTTCTAATTCTTCTGCAGACTCATATTGAAACAAGTTGTTTTTTGTGATGCTGTGACATCTTATGGCAATTTTTTATTATTTTATTTATTTTTTGTGGGGGGTTATGGTTGAACTTGTAAATGTTTCATAAATTTAGATATTGTTTGCTTTAAATGTTACTGATAGAATCACTGCAACACAAGCTTTATTTGAAATGTTCTGCTGTAGATTTAATGTGTTTTTGTTGTTACTTGRCTATAAAACTGTGCTGTAAAGAAAATCAGAAAAAATGTGTTTTTGTGCTTTTACCAAGATTGTATTTTGTTCAGCATGTTTGACTTTTTGACTGCATGTTTTTAAAATTACACAATTATTCACTGAAGCATGAGGGTGCAGACAACAGATATTAGTGCTTTATTCACTGTTTCTAATCGTGTTTGTGAGTCTGTCTGCATGTTAGCAGAAGGTGACCCGGGCCAGCTGTTGTCTGGCTGCTGAAGTCCGAGATCAGCATTTTAAACTTGCTTCTTTTACACTTCTGGTTCTTTAAATCCTTTCTGATTAGCAGCTTCTCTTTGATAAAAGAAAACTAAAAGGCTTCGTGATCTGATCAAACAAGACCTTCTTATCTTCCACTCTCGCCGCAGCAGTGATGAGGAAACTGATCCATGTTAAACACAGCTGTGATCAAGGGTTAACAAAAAAGAATCACTTTTTATAGGAAAGATAATCTTGTTTCCAAAATGTTTAGCTGACCCGAGTGTCTCATGTTGGTTACAGTGAAGTGTGTGACTTATTGTCATCTATCTGAAACAGATTAGTGTAACTCAGCCAGGTGGGAGAGTTGTGGGTACATAGAGATCTCACTGAGAGCTCCACGGCCTCTATTTATAGAACAGGCTTCAGATTTATTCATCACATGGATCCTGATGAGTGTCCAAACATCAGAAAATGTCAGGTTTCATTTCTCCTTCTAGAGGCCAGCTCATTTCTCACCCAACCGTTTGAATGTGTGATATAAACAGCTTTTTGCAACATATTCACACAATAATCTTTATTTTGTAGAGTTTGTTGGTCAATTGATTTAATGCCAAGAACAAATGCATTCTGGATGGATCCATGTCAGAATATCAGATGGTACCTCGCTGGTAAAAGATGAGCAGATCAGGTGTTTTGTGGCTCCGCCCTCCTCTGGGTTAAAAGTGGGGCTGTTGCTGGGGGGAGAGGGGGTCAGATTAGCAGACACACGAGTTTCTATATTTAGGACTGTTTTTAGGTTGAGAAGATATTTGTTGTTTTGCAAAGCCTATTGTTGACAGGAGTACAGAGTCCTCTCACAGCTCTGTTCAGAGTGTTGCTGCGGCAGAACGCCTCGAATGTAAACGATGGCCTGTTGGCACACAAATTATGCTATTTATTTAGTTTACATATGATTTTATGTTATTCAGAGGAATGGTTTTGTTTCTTTTGATTGACACAATTCCAGCTAATCTAAATCCTAGTTAGTTCACTCTTTTTTAGTTTTATGAATAAAACTAAAGTGTGCTGCTGTGTTTGACTTTGCTGCTGAATATGTGATGCTAATTTTAATTATATATGTTAATTTTAGAAAATGCTCAATAAAGTACAGGCTGTTAAGCATCATTTGAAGACAGTTTACACCCATATAGATCAACCAGTTTAAGTTTCTATGGAAAATGACAACACAGATTTATTCCGTTTTGCCTTTTTTTACATGCATTTTTTGTTCAATAAATATAAAAAAAACTATTGTTTAACAACAATCCTCAGCAGAACTTGTACGCTTAAGAATTTTCTTTTAGAATGGAAAAAATCGAAATAATTTGCTACAGTAAGCTGGTTGGAGCTGCTGCTGCTGCATTGTTGTTTTGAAAGAAGTGAAACTGGAGTTGCAACATAATGTTGTTTTCATCCAGCTGTTTCTGTATGAAAGGCTGGGGGACAGTGGCAACACTTTTAGCCTTTGGCTCTGTTACACATAGTTTTATTAGGCAAACCAAATGTTTATGCAATAAACTTACATCTCTCTGTTAATAGTCAAAACCATTTCAAGATGATTATAGAACATTCTTCACTAGTTGCCTTTGAATATTATAAGTCAGAAGTTGCAACCGACCCCAGGCCCGGGGACAGATGCAACATTGTTTGGGGGTGGTTGCAGCATGTTATTAATACAATATATTTCACTGTTAACACAAGTTTTGTCATTTTTTAATATATTATTATTATTATTATTATTATTTTATAAAAAAGTATAGTTTAATAATATTAAGGTGTTATTGATCATTTTAGATCAAAAGACGTATAGATTTACCTTGATGAGTAGACTTTATGAGCATTTGTCAAAGAATCAAATTATGAAATACAATCAGCTTTCAGTGACAGGAAGAATTGTACAATTTGTGAGGAAATTTACTTTTGTTTGGCTTATTGTCAGTATGCATCTATTGTGCAAAATTTACATTGAAGAAAACTGGGACTCAAAAAAAAATTGTTGAAAACCACAACTGAAGAAAATTCATCCTAAACACTTTTAAGTTTTAAACTATAAAACTGCCATGAACACCTAATATCTATTTAAATATAAATTTAATATTAACTTTATGAGCACTGTTTTTATATTTATTCACTGTCAGCTATGATGAAACCTCATATGTTTATGCTGACCTTAATACATACCAACCATATTAGCTAAAAGTTAATTTATCACTTGTTTAAACCATAAGTTTGAGCTGAATCACCAAAACAATGACAACAGCATTACAAAAACCAAACTAAGGGGAAAAAAATAATTTTTGTGCCATAAAAACAGTTTTTTCCCCCACAAATCCTGGTGCAGCTTTTTAATCTGCTTCCTTGTTTCTGGGTATTGAAGGGTAATTTTATTTAACAGCTGTGTGATAATTGATATTATTGTAAGTTTTAATGATAGTTGTAATGGAACTAATACTTTTATGTTTAAGCAAGTAATTCATGACATCGTTTAATGACCTAGGTTTTCATGACATGCTGTTCATCTGCAGATAGAATGATTAAAGTCAGAACAAGATTTKCTAACAACAGTCATTCTTAGATATCACTTGTGTTTATCTTTGTGTTTTCCATTGACCTTGTWTCAAATCTTGCTAAGATGACATAATGGTGTTTGTTAATATATATGAGGCCTCTCGAGACACAGTGAGTAGTGTGGAGAGACAGTGACAGAGAGAAGCAGAGGCACAGAGACAGGGCAGGTTGTTCTCTGTGTTTCCTGTTGTTGCAATAAAACTCAGCTGATCATCTCATGGAGTACCTTCATTCTTGGACCACACATTTCTGTCTTTGTTAAATAAATATTGCCATAACAGTTGGCATTGTTGGCAGAGACCACTAGGAGATCGACGGACCAAGACCACATTGCAGGTGGACTGATATGAGTGAGCAAGGACTGGACTGCTCAGGACCATGTCTCCAGCCGGATGAAAAGAACCTTTTTATGGTAAATTGTTTTTACAACAGAGATATGCTGGTGCTGGTTGTGATGGATGATCTTCAATAAAAAAAAGAACATTGGATTTTATTTTTGGCTGTTGAAGAACCTGAGAAGATTTTTGAAACATCATCTGCTGAGAGTGAGTAAAAGCTTCAAGATGCCTCCTTACTTTTCCAAAGAGGATTTCTGCCAGCTTCTCCAAAAGGWGACGGTGTTGGAGCTCAAGATTCATCATTTGGAAGAGATGAATGCTTTGGAGAACTCAACATGCGTTTTAATGGGTGAGAAGGCTGAGATGAGAGATCCACTGGACAAGAAGATGGAAGCTGCTTCTGAGTGTAAAACTGTATGGGACTCTCTTTGTGCCAGACCAAAACATCTCTCAGGAAGGATTCAGCTCTTAGATGGCATCGAATGGCCATAATTACAGAGAAATGCTTTTTCTCCTCCAGCGAGGAGAAGAAAGCAACAGGCTGTAATCAAAACACCTGATAACAAGCCAGAGAAATGAAGCAGTGTTTCTTCAAAACAGATTCACACCACTGGAAGAAACTGAGTCTGAACAAAGTTCATCYKSTGAYYTCAGAGAGGGACCTGAGACCAGATCCAGATCCAACTCAAAGCCAAAGCAAGTCCAAAAAGACACTTTCAAAAATCAAGAAATGCTGATCATCACAGATAAAATGGTGAATGAGATCAGAGGCTTCTGGAACAATAAAAAAGTCAAAGTTCTGAGTTTTACTGATAAAATGTCTGACCTCACAGAGAAGATTCTGGAAATCTCAGCTGAGTATCCAACTTTGAATACACTCATCATTCATACAGGAAGTGATGAAGTTATGAACCGACAGTCAGAAATCCTGAAGAAGGATTTTATTCTGCTGCTGAATGCAGTTAACAATCTCAACATGGATGTGTTCCTCAGTGGGCCCGTTCCTGCAGCAAGAGGAGGAGCTGAGAGGTTCAGCAGACTGTTGGCTCTTAATGTTTTTTTTTGTTTTTTTTTTTTTTGGAAAAGTCCTGTGCTGACCACTCTGTGTTTTGTGGATAACTTTGATCTCTTCTGGGAAAGAAAACATCTCTTCAGGTCTGATGGAATGACTGAATCAAACTGGAGCACAGCTTCTGGCTTCCAACATRAAGTATTTCCTGAACAAAGTTCTGGCTGGAAACAAACAGGAAAAACCACAACAGATGACGTCTGAAGGACAGCTGGAGAAAACTGAGATATCGATGGAACACAGTGTGCCAGTTATTGATAAGAAGACTGCTTCAGAATCAGAACCAGAGAGAGAGGAGTTACTTCAACCTGCAGAACCAGCATCACAAACAAAGGATCTCTTGGACTCTGAGACCCCAACAGGACAGCAAGTGGAATGCCCCCTCCTGGATTTTACTAACAACATGAAAGAACCTGGCGAGATTAATTTCAAACAAACGCCATGCCCAAATCCAGCTAACCCTCCTCTTCCAGCCCCTCGCACTAAACCAAGATCTACAAAAAGATTCACAGAGCACCACCACCACCTCTGACCCTTCCACACATCAAAACAGGCAATCCTGTTTGTGTTCAAGATGATCCAAAGACTTTTGTGCGATAATTATGTTTTGGGGTTAGAAATTACTGTAGGAGGAATAAAAATTGAATTACTGGGGTTGGGATTTCAGAAAAGTACATATACTTAGGTTTATGTTGAAATGTCTTTTTTTAAAAATACATTAAAGAGTTTTTTTGTTTTATTGATCATTTAATTGGTGATTTAATGATCAGATGGGGGAGATGTAATGGAACTAATACTTTTATGATGAAGCAAGTAATTCATGACATCCTTTAATGACCTAGGTTTTCATGACATGCTGTTCATCTGCAGACAGAATGATTAAAGTCAGAACAAGATTTTCTAACAACAGTCATTCTTAGATATCACTTGTGTTTATCTTTGTGTTTTCCATTGACCTTGTATCAAATCTTGCTAAGATGACATAATGGTGTTTGTTAATATATATATGAGGCCTCTCGAGACACAGTGAGTAGTGTGGAGAGACAGTGACAGAGAGAAGCAGAGGCACAGAGACAGGGCAGGTTGTTCTCTGTGTTTCCTGTTGTTGCAATAAAACTCAGCTGATCATCTCATGGAGTACCTTCATTCTTGGACCACGTATTTCTGTCTTTGTTAAATAAATATTGCCATAACAGTAATAATATTTTTTCTTAATCAGAACAAATGCAGAAAATTTAGTTAAATAAATAAAAATATTAAAGTTTCATTATAATATACTTTCTGTCACCAAAATTAAGGCAATGAGGATTTTGCTTGTGTGTTTGTCTGTTAGCAAAATATTTCTGAAACCATGGATCTATAATATTTTAGACAACTTATGAAACTATTTATGCCTAAATTAAATTAATCCATGTTGAAGATAGAATTTAAAAATCAACTGGAAGCCTCTCTTACATACTGTAATCCTAACAAATAGATCAAATATATAACTTTTATTAGTCAAAGTGGAAAAAAGCATTTCACATGTTGGCATAAGTTGTCTAAAACATCATTGTGTGACAGAGAATCCTGCTCAGCTCTAACAGATCAAACGTTACAGTTTGTTTAAGTCAAATAAGTCATTATTTCTCCACAGAAGAAGATATTTAGTCTAATTTCCTGGTATGAAAAGCAGCGGGTGAAATGCATTCCTTCAATTTGTGCTACAAATAATCAATATGTTTAGGAGTTGGATTAAACTTTTTGAACATGAGAAGATTTTTTTTGTAAGATATTATCTTAAGCTGTGTATATATATATATATACACACACACACACATAAATTTATTTAGATGTTTTTATATATTATTTATTTGTTGATTAATTGGATTTGATCTGTTATTATAAAAACATAATCGGAATAATAACATAATAATAATATGCAGTGATCAATAAGGAAAAAAATGCGGTTTTTACATTATTAAAGAAATAGTTGCTTGTTTTCAGCAGTTCAAGTCGTAAATTTAGAGATGTTTCTTCACTAAAAGGCCTTGTCACACTGTCATGTTTTAGCCAACTTATTAAACCTTTTTATGACTAAATATCTCATATACGTTATATATTTGATCTAATTGTTAGCACTGCAGTTTGTTTACATCCAGTTGATTTTTATTCCATCTTCAGTGTAGACATCTTCGAAGTCAGACAGAATTTTCAGAAGTTGTATAAACAATGGCTTAAAGATTTGCTATAACACTGTCTTCAGCAGATCAAAGTCACAATAGGTTTTCTGTTATTATTAAATCTATTTTTTAATTGTCTCTTGTAAACATGGTTAGTCTTGACTCCGCTCTCGTGCAGAATAACAGTGCGCACCTGTGGTTTGTTCAGAGTTTATTTTCACACAGCTGCAGATCTCAGAGCTCTTTCTGAACATAACAGAGAAGCTCATGATAATGAGTGACAGCGACGTCTGAGCGGCACGTAAACACAGATAAACACACGACCAGGTGACCTCTTCAGGCTGTCAGAGGGCAGAATGGAAAGAATGAATCCCTCAATGCTCTCTGTTTAAACCCCCTCAGTCAAATGCCCCCCCCCCCCCCACACACACACACACACACAACCCAGTGTGGACCCAAGCAGGTAAACAAACTGCAGAGCTCAGCCCTCGGCTCCTGTGTGTGGCTGTGTGAGCTGCTCTGCATTCTCCAGCTCAAAATAGAAATTCCCTGACAGTCGGTCAGATGTTCTGTAAGGATGATTTACACAGTGGGATGGGACCATCTGACAAGAGCTTTATTTTTAATAAAATACACAGACGTAGCAAAGATTTAGGCAAAAAAAAGCATTTTGCTGAAGATTGAAAACATGTCCAAAATAAGATGATTCCTGTTTGTGTTTTTAAAGACCATCATGATGTAAACAGCAACTATTTCAATATTAGCCTTTATAATATTTATTTTTCCCTGCGACCCAAGGAAGAAGCGGGCAAAAGATGATGGATTGTTATTTTATTTGGATCTTCACGTGTTTTACCCAATTCTGAGGACTGAAAATTATGAACCACTCTCAGGGATGTTGAGTTATAGGTATTTTCTGGCATTTGTTTGTGATTGCATGATTTGATTAATTGATCCCCTCCCACTCTTCATCTGCTGCAGAACATTGAGCTGAAGGTGGAAGTAGAGAGCTTGAAGAAGGAGCTCCAGGACAAACAAGAACTTCTGGATAAAGCCCTGTAAGTTCAACAACACAAACCTCAGTTTATGTATGAAAACGTTTAGATTTTCAAGTTGCAGTCTGTCAGAGGGTTGCAGTTTGATCATCTGTTTTGAAATGCAGCTCAATAAAATTATTTTAAAAATCCTCTCATTAAACATCCTAATTTATGCCTTAATAATTTTTCTAAACCTTGAGTAAATTGGAAGAACGTCTCATTGCTCACATTAATTTAGACCAAACTGTACAGAATAATTTAAAAGTAAGCTGCAGGGACTTCCTGTCAAAGTTTTTGTGACAAACAATTTTGCTGAAAACAAACTGCAACAACATTGTTTTTTTATTGAGCTTCAGGCTTATTAAGGTAACATTTCTCCTGTTGTCTACTACTTAGTCTCCTTGTTTACTTTGTCAGAAATATTCAGGAGACAATGAGAAAGTTTAAAAGCATTGTTGAGCTGAATATCAGGGTGAAAATCAGAAGGTAAACATGAGTGTAACGTTACACAACTGATGTCTCTTGTCCTTTTTTCCTTTCTGTTGTAAAGACATTTAATATTTTTCAAGGATGCAATCCAACAGGTTGGTGGTGTTGAGCTGTAATTCTATCAGAAGTTAGTCACCAGATCCATAATGCTTTGTTCAAAACTCAGAGACCCAAAGAAAGAATGAGATTCAGAGGAACAGAGATTGGATTTCTGTGATAGTCATTGTGTGAATGAATACTGAGTCAGCATTCACACAGGCGCTTTCCTGTTTCTAGTGATTGAAAAATGTTTTATTTTTATTTTTATTTGACTCAAACTACTTCTGTACACTTTGGACTATTTTAACCTATAACTTATCAGGAATCATGTAAACATGTAGCTTTATTTACAAGCGTTTTCTCAATAGACAGATTCTTTTCAAGAATCTCTTGAAAATCTTTTTTTTAAATTTTGACTCCTTATTCTACCTGTAGCTTTTAGCAGCAAATTTGCAAATTTTGCTTTTTAGTTGCATTTCCTCTTAATTAAACTTAATGCTACAATTTTGCTAAATTAGCCTTTTAAGTACTGGTTTGTCAATTTATGACTTTAGCTGTGATTTTATTCATTTTAACTTTTAGTTACTGTTTTTATTATTTTAGAGTTTAGCTTCAGTTTAGCTAATTCGGACTTTTATCTACGGTTTTGCTAAGTTAAGTTTTAGCTTTGGTTTTGATTAATTTAAGATTTTAGCTACTGTTTCTCAAATTTTACCCCTTTTATTTTGTTTTTTTCTTGTTTCAACTCATGATTTAGTTTCAAGTCGTTCGCCAAATTTCGACCAAGTTGAAAAAAATGGATGTGAACTGAGCCAAGTTTTCACTTTTCGAGTACTAACATCAGTAAAGTAGTTTTTATTGTTTGATTCTGCCTCCATGAGTCAAATTCTTTGGTTTTCGAGTCAGCAGAGCATCAGTTCCAGCAGTCTGCCGGCAGGTCAAACAGTCGACAGACCAAGACCACTAAGTGTCCACTCAACACCACGGACACATGTCCCCGAGACACACACTGATATTATTTAGACTAGTTTGAAAATACCTCTGTTATCTGAGCTGCTGCATGTGCCAGATGGAGTTAAAAACGTGTGTCGAGGGCGTCTGGAACAGGTTCTGTGGCGACAGAGAGGCGTGTGCCATTCTGGGAGCAGGAATTCCGGGATGCAGCCGTTCACTAAGTGATACATCGAGATGCTTTTAAAGACCCAAAGTGTGAGAAAACCTTGTTGTGAGTCACATCAGGAAAATCAGGGCGGGTGTGAAAACAATAAATCCAAGTTTAGAAACCGTATGTGTCAGCTTGTATGATCTGTGACATTATTTTATGACTAATAATAATAATAATAGAACATTTAATGRGCACAGCACGCAGCGTGGGTGGGGCACTTATTTCATCTCAGCTATAAGTGGACGGTGTGAGGACATACCACAGCCCTGCAGCACACAGACAAGCGGTGACATCAGATTTTTCTCTTGGCTCTCCCTGACGTCTCCATCGGGTCCTAAAACCAACCTGTCTGATGTCTGCGTGCATGTAAACAGTGACTAATTCCACTTTCAACACTGACAAGTACAGTAACTGGTAAAATAACAACCCTGAGATTATTTTAGATCCGTCACTTAAACTGTTACTGGGTAGGAAGGGCAGAGGTTTTAAGGATTTGATTCAGCTCTTAGTCCTGAGCATCCTCGAGGCTGTAATAACTGTTAAAACTTGGAGAACTAACTAATTTTACTCATGTGCTGCAGCATTCTGGATCAACTCACTGCAAAATCTGTCCACCTAACCAAGTTTTAAAATCTTATATCCAGCCAAAAAGTCTTTTTGATCTTGTTTTGAGATTCACTAAACAAGAACTGATTGTGTAAGAATAATAATCTTGTTTTCAGAATGTGTAAGATTATTTGTTTGAAAATTTGACTCAAATTAAGTCAAAAATTTCTGGCAATGGAGTGAGAAAATTTAATTTGGTAAAATTCTTGAAATAAGAAAAAACTGAGTCAAATCAAGTATTTCAAGAATCTTACCAAATAAAATTTTCTCACTCCATTGGCAGAAATTTTTTTACTTAATTTGAGTCAAATTTTCAAGCTAACAAGACAAATAATCTTACACATTCTGAAAACAAGATTATTATTCTTACACAATCAGTTCTTGTTTAGTAAACCAGTCTCAAAACAAGATCAAAAAGACATCTTGGCTGGATATCAGATTTTAATTGGTTAGGTGGACATTTTTTGCAGTGAGACATTTCAATAACAAAAAGTTATGATGGTTCAATCAAGAAGTAACAAATGAATAAACCAGTTATTTTAGGCATTAAAGAATGAGTTTCTATGATATGTGTTAAGTTTAAGCACATTTCCTGTCAAAAATATCTTCAGTGTCTCCTACAGTGGTGCTCTAGGCCAGTGTTTCCCAAAGTTGGGGTCGGGACCCAAAGTGGGGTCCTGAAACATCAAGGTGGGGTCCTGAAAAAAATTTCTGAATTAATTACATTTTTGCCTTAGTTGTTACAAAGGAGCGAGGTTAGTGTATTTAAAATGGATAAATGTAGTATAAAAAATATTGTTACTCTGCTCATGTTTAGTTGACTTGATACAAATATTTATCATCCAAAAATAGTTGGGGGCACAGGTCTCTGCTACTGTTATTTTGTGGGTCAAAACCTGAAAAGTTTGGGAACCACTGCACTTTGGTTCCCAAAGTTGGGCTTKGGRCCCAATTATGRGTCATGAAGCACCTTGGATAATCTCCAGAAATCAATTTAAAGGGTAATAAAATAATTGCTGATGTAATATTTTCCCTATAATTATTACAAAAACACAAAATAAGTATAAATAAGTATATATATTTGTGTACAAGCTGTTTAGATTGTCAAAAAGCCTGTGTTTTTAGGGTTATTAACGAAGTTCATGTACTCAGACCAGTAATATTTGGGGTCACACGTTTCTGCCGTGGATAGTTAGTGGGTCAGAAGACAAAAAGTTTGGGAACCACTGCTCTAGGCCAACGTAAAGCCGTCACGAATGAAGAGTTCCAGACCCAAATATGGCAATCTTTTCCACTTCTAAATACAGACACAGAAAAGTCAAACTCATCCAGACGTTATCAGCTTTGAGACATGATAATAAACTCACAACTGGGTTGAGTTCAGAGTGTTAGAGCCAATCAAATCCAGCTCTTTTAACCAAGAATCTGTCGCTGACCTTTGTGTAAGCTGATCTTTATTGTGTTTTTATTTTAACGTTTTTTAGCACAACAGCAGAAAGTTTGACCAACAACAATGAAGCAGAGCTGCAGAGACGATGTCAGGAGCGACAGCAGGAAATTGACCACATGCAGCAGGTGCTGGAGACCAAGATTCAGCTCCTGCAGGAGGTTCGCCTGCCCTAACTGTTACCATCAGCACACCCGTACGCTTCCTTCGTCATCACAAATCACTCATGCTTCTCCGTGTGGGTTTGCAGGAGGCCCAGCTAGCTCGCAGCGAGGCTGAGAGGATGGCCTCGCTGGCCGGGTCCCACTCCCACGCCTCCCTCGTTTCACTGGACGCCGCCATGGAGGAGATCCCCGAGGACGAGAGGCCTCCACACCTCCTGTCCCCGTCCAACACCAGCAAAGACAGGTACAGAAGACCGAGAGAGAGATCAGAAACAAATCTGTTCTTATAAACCCCAAACTAATGAAATCAACCGTCTGTTTGCATTAAGGCTAATAGAGGAACTGACCGAAGAGCTTCACTCTAATGAGGCCTTCATCACCGAGCTCTGCGACGAGAAAGAAACACTCACGCTCAGGGTTGGAGAGCTGGAGGAACAAGTTCAGGAGCTGTCCTCATCTCTGCTACAGAAGGACAAGGACATTGAGGTATCTGAGCTTATTGTTGTTATAAAAATGTGAGCAGGAGGCAAACAGATGACTTCATTAGTCATTCTACTGATCAACAACAACACTTTCTGGTCACTTTACATGTCTTCAATCCAACCAATCAGAAGCTAGCTGTCATTTAAAACAAGTGAACCACAAAAACAATTTCTTGTTTTCAACACTTGCTGTTAAACATATTTTAAAAACATGTATGTCAGAATTCTGACCATTAATGTAATTTCCTTTTATATTAATTCTATTAGCTGAAATTAAGAGCATTACCTTTTAATTATGTGTTTACATTAATGTGAAATTTTGTATGTAATTTATTTGTCTTTATTGCAGTTTTATCAAGAGGAACTGGGTCAGGAGAGGCTGAGAATCGAACAGGAGATGCAGGTATAATTAAATCTTTATTTTGGTTTTCAGAACAACTCAGAATTCATAGTTTCAGATTTATTGTTAAAAAGAGCAGACGGTTTCATTAGAGTCTGTGCCTCCTAAAACACAGCATATTGTAGATGTGTCCCCTCACATATACAGAGGGCCAAGTCCCAAAGTGGAGAAATAGTGCATTAATCAAAATGTTTGCAACAAATGTATTTTGTCAAAATGATCAAATACTTTTCATTTAAACGAAGTTTTTCTGCGAGGTAGCAAAGTTTTTTTCTTCCCAGGTGATAAATCTTAATATAATCCAAATACTGTTTGAGGTTTTCACTTTATAATGACATCAAAAATTCCTCATTAGAATAACGTAACAACTGGAATCAGACTAAATATCAAAGTTATCTTGATTAGGAAGGCAAATCATGAAATATCTCTGGAATCTTTCAAATCTGGGATACAAATGTAGCTTAAAAAGCTGGAATCTGAAAATGTGTTCAGGTCATTTTGATCAAATTTGATTAATTTACAAAGAACAAAGTTATAATGCAGCTAAAAGGATCAATGTTCACAATAAATCGGAACACGTCAACATCCAATAAAACAACTCTGTTGTCTTTTTGCTGCCTGCTGTAACCTTGTGAGAAGATTAAATCAGCTTTCTGGAGCTACCAGAGAGGAGCAGCGTGACACACAGAAGGGGTGTTATGTCAAGCTGCCATATTACTGAGACTTTATCTCATCACATAAAGTGACAGAATTTCATTTCATGTACAGACTGTGACTGCAGCGACATCCCCAAGGACACACGGCTCTTCTGTTAACAGCAGCAGCTGCCCTCTTTGCTCAGACAGAATATTTTTAATTGACAATCATAACATTCAGCCCTTCTTATCTTAGCAGTATGAAATGCTTGCTATTTGGATTTTGCCTATTTATTATTGAAGTCCACCACCATGAAATATATATATATATATATATATATATATATATATTAGTTATTTTTTACAAATGCTGAGTAAAGATTTGGTTTGGTAGTAACTGAGAGTCCTCCCCAACACTTAAAAGCATAAACAGCGTGAAAGAGCTTCATTTAAAACTTTGCGTTGCAGGGTGACAAGTGGAGGAATGTGAAGTTCCTTTATTTGTGACAGTTTTTTGCCTCCAGCATGTTTGTTGTTGGGTGTGTTGCTCACTGGCAGCGTTTTGTTTGTAGAGCGCCTCTGCAATCGGCTCAACTTGTAAATCAATTTTTAAATGAAGAATGCAAATGTACAAGCAGAGCAGGTCCTCAGCTCCAACTATAGAGTTGCTTGGAGGAAATAAGGAAAAATGTTGGAGCGCAAGTCTTCGTGACGTGACTGTCAGCGGAGAAAATGACAACGTTCGCACTTTGTGCGTTTACGTGATGAAGTATGGCGTTTGATTGTGATTGCTGTGTTTGAAGCATCTGTTTGCCAACGCGCAGAGCTGATGTTTGCCATCGGATGTTGGTTTGATGAGCTGGGCACGAACGTGTGAAAGAGTTCTTCTTAGACAAAACTCGGCATGGGTTCAGTCCCTGCACTGATGGACTGTTTTAAAGAGACATAAACTGAATCTCACACTGAAAACTTTAGACCTGAAAAAGAAAAAAAATTGTATAGGTCTTCAGGACGGGTTCTTCTTTAATGAAACGTTTCGTCTCTCCTCCAAGAGACTTCTTCAGTCTGAGAGTTTCAGGCAAAATTCAGGCTTTTAAGCCCTGCCTCCATGTGACTGATACTCACATCACACGGCTATCATTGACACCTAATTAACACTTGTTGTAACACTTATTAACACTTATTGTAATATTACAACTTATTTACAATAAGTGTTAATTAGGTGTCAATGATAGCCATGTGATGTGAGTATCAGTCACATGGAGGCAGGGCTTAAAAGCCTGAATTTTGCCTGAAACTCTCAGACTGAAGAAGTCTCTTGGAGGAGAGACGAAACGTTTCATTAAAGAAGAACCCGTCCAGAAGACCTACACAATTTTTTTTTCTTTTTGATTTTTTACCTGGATTACTGAGATGCATCAGGACAATAACTGAAATACTTTAATAATAACTTAAATAC